TTTTTTTTTTTTTTTTTTTTTTTTTTTTTTTTAGCTTAAGTACAAGTGAATTTAGGAGAAAAGAAAGAGTGAGAGGGGGAAAAGGGGGCAGAGTCACTTTTCAGTGAGCAAGAAAAGGTTTTAAGGGCATTTGTAGAAACAACCTACAGCGCCTGGGCTGTGCTGTTCCTGTGCCCCCGAAGAAGTGGCTTTTCTTCTTTACATGTGACTGCTGGAAGAAAAAAAAACAACAAACAAAAAAAAAATCCCAAACCCAGCACCTATCGGTGTTTTTTTTTGTGTGTGCAATTTTTAAAAAAATTTGCAACAGATTGTGGCTTTTTATTTCCCTTTAACATAACACAACCCACCGTGTCTAGCAGGTACGTTCAACTCGTGTATGCATATATATTTACATGTGTTAAATTTATATATGTATTCCATTATCGTTGCTACGTAAATTAGGCTGATTTAAAGGACGCTTAAAAAAACCCAAAAAACAACAACAACAAAAAAAGTAGTAATTTGATAGTCCTGCGATTCTATATTTAAGTAAACAGCCTTACTAGCCTGAGGGACGGGGACCGGCCACGTCCCGGGGACAGGGAGCAGACTGAAGCGTAGCTGCCGCCGTGCCGGGGGCATCTTTAAAGCTACGGTAACAGACGCAACTTTTTTTCCTTCTCTTTTTTTCTCCCCCTTTTTTAACCCTTCCTGAGCTCCTTCGGGGGAGGGGAGTTGGATGGTGAAAAAAAAAAGCCCCGGAAGGCGTTTGGAAGCAGAACCGCGGTGCCGGCCCCAGAGAGGGCATCCTCCCGCGGGAGTGCCGAAACTTTGCGCCCGGGGCCGGAGCGGAGCGGAGCGGGGCCGGGCGGCGGAGCGGTGCCGGGCGCGGAACGCGGGGCGCGGGGCGGCGGCGCGGGGCCGCTCCATCCCTGACGCTGGCGGGACGGCCCTCTTCCCTCTGTGCCCGCAGGAGGAACCGCGGGTAGGCTCCACGCCGCTGGCCATGCTCGCCGCGACCTGCAACAAGATCGGCAGCCCCAGCCCTTCGCCGTCCGCCCTTTCGGACAGCACGTCCTCCTTCGGCAAAGGCTTCCACCCCTGGAAACGCTCCTCCTCCTCAGCTTCGGCGGGCAGCTGCGGCGCCGTGGGCTCCGGCCTCCCGGGCTTCGGCGTGGCGGGCGCGGCGCGGAACGGCTCCTCGGCGGCGGCGGCAGCGGCGGCGGCGGCGGCGGCCGCCCTCGTCTCGGACTCGTTCAGCTGCGGCGGCTCGCCGGGATCCAGCGCCTTCTCCCTCACCTCCAGCAGCGCGGCGGCCGCCAGCTCGCCCTTCGCCAACGACTACTCCGTCTTCCAGGCGCCGGGCAGCGCCGGTGGCGGCGGCGGCGGCGGAGGCGGCGGCGGCGGGGCGGCAGGACAGGAGGCGGCGGCGCACCAGCCCGTCTTCATCTCCAAGGTGCACACGTCGGTGGAGGGGCTGCAGGGCATCTACCCGCGGGTGGGCATGGCGCACCCCTACGAGTCCTGGTTCAAGCCCTCGCACCCGGGGCTCGGTGCCGGCGAGGTAGGCTCAGCGGGCGCCTCCAGCTGGTGGGACGTGGGCGCCGGCTGGATCGACGTGCAGAGCCCCAACGGCGCGGCCGCGCTGCCCGGCTCGCTGCACCCGGCGGCCGGCGGACTCCAGACCTCGCTCCACTCGCCACTGGGCGGCTACAACTCGGATTATTCGGGCCTGGGCCACTCGGCCTTCAGCAGCGGCGCCTCCTCGCACCTCCTCAGCCCCGCCGGGCAGCATCTCATGGACGGATTTAAGCCGGTGCTGCCCGGCTCCTACCCGGACTCGGCCCCCTCGCCGCTGGCCGGCGCCGGGGGCTCCATGCTGGGCGGTGGCCCCGCCGCGCCGCTGGCCGCTTCGCCGCGCTCCTCCGCCCGCCGCTACTCGGGGCGCGCCACCTGCGACTGCCCCAACTGCCAGGAGGCCGAGCGGCTGGGGCCGGCGGGGGCCAGCCTGCGCCGCAAGGGGCTGCACAGCTGCCACATCCCCGGCTGCGGCAAGGTGTACGGCAAAACCTCGCACCTGAAGGCGCACCTGCGCTGGCACACGGGCGAGCGACCCTTCGTCTGCAACTGGCTCTTCTGCGGCAAGCGCTTCACCCGCTCCGACGAGCTGCAGCGGCACCTGCGGACCCACACGGGCGAGAAGCGCTTCGCCTGCCCCGTCTGCAACAAGCGTTTCATGCGCAGCGACCACCTCAGCAAGCACGTCAAGACCCACAGCGGCCCCGGAGGAGCCGGGGGTCCCGGCGGCGGCGGCCCCGGCGGCGGTCCCGGCCCCGGCGGCAAGAAGGGCAGCGACACCGACAGCGAGCACAGCGCGGCCGGCAGTCCGCCCTGCCACTCCCCGGAGCTGCTGCCGCCCCCCGAGCCCGGGCACCGCAACGGCCTGGAGTGACGGGCGGAGGCGCGGGGCCGCCGCGCCCCCCAGTCCCGCCGCCCTCCTGCGCCCCTCCGAGCGCGCAGCCCTGCGGCGGGGACGCGGACACGTAAGTAGCTGGCACGGCTCCGCAAGAACAGCGCTCATCCCCGCGGCCGCTCCGCTGCCCTCCCGGAGCCCCGCACGGGGCTGGCGGTGCGGCCGGGCCGCTCAACCCCCGCCACGGGGGCAGGGGAGCGGCTCGGCAAGGGCGGAGAGCCGCGACCCCCCATGGGGCGGCCTCCTTCCCCCGTCGCCTTGAGACCCCCGCCTCGTGTTGCTTTTAGAGTGGAAAAAACACCCACGTCCCCTCTCGCTTTGCTGCTGGAAACCGGCCCGTGCTCCCTGCCTCCGGCACTGGCGGCGGTGCAGCCCCGGCGGGGCGGGCGAGCTGGGCTGCCCCCGGCTGCTCCTCCGACGGCAGCGCCTCCAGCCGCGCTCCGAGCCCCACACAGCGCCGAGCTGACACTCGGACCTGCTCTCATCCCGGCACCTGCTCAGAGCCCATCTGCTCCCCGGGACCGGAGCGGGAGTGTGCTTACCTCCCTCCCCCCTTTATTTTTTTTTTCCAATTTTAACTAATCGTTTACCTCCTCGAGTCCAAATTTCACTGCATTTGCCAGCACATTTGTATAATTCTCGTTCGAGCAGGAATCGCGAAATACATTGAAAACAATTAGGTTGAAAGCCGTATATTTTTTTTCTTTTAACTTTAGACAAATGAAGAAGCACCGTGGGTTTCAAGCGAAGATGTATTTCCAATGCCAAAAAAGGGAGGCCGGGGGGTAATAGGAAAATTAAATATTTGTAAAATGCGTCTGAACCTATAGGTTTGTACCACTGGGGAATCGTTCTAGATTAGCTAACAATTAAATAAAACTCCACCAATGTATCGGTGTGAGGTGCAGTTGTCCAGGAGACGATTTTGTATAGTATTTTTCTTGTAAATTTCTTCCAGTAAATATTTGAAAATATATTGAAGTACACTTGAGCTTTTTTTTTTTCTTTGAAATTTTTATTTCTTTTCCTGTCACGAGAAAACATTCTTGTTGCAGTCCTGGTTCACTGCATTTTTTTTTTCTGGACTCCTTTCTTGAAGTGTGCATCAAATCACACTTCAGGATATAGGTTTTGCTTGAATATTAATTTAGCTAGGCATACAACTGTAATTAAGCAAACAATATTTGATAAATGTTGAATGACATTTAATTTAATGGAGCATGTACTTATTTGCATTTGCTGGCAGTTCAGGTATAGTTACGGTGAGAGTTCTCCTATATTTCATAAAGTGGGTTTGCCACGACCCATGTATTAAATAAACTGTCCAAGTGAAACTGAACTAATGTTGGCCTATGTGTATTTCCTGAAAATAATATTGATAAATGTTAATAAACACTCCTGACACTACATTAGCGGTTTGCAATGCTGCAAACTAATTGTCTCATTGTAATGTTGAAATAATTTGGATATTTCACATTGAAATGAAAAGCCCTTCGCTGGAACATTTTAGATTTGCATTTTAAATGCATGAAATGTAATTGATTTTTATCTGTAATATTTTAAATGGTATTAATAAACTCCAGAAAAACATTCTACCTTAGGTTAGCCAGTTGTTTTTCTTCTTTGTAAGTCCATCATTACAATCAATGATTTACTTTGAACTCATATGGCATAAGTTGCTCTCTAGAGTTTCAGAGAAAACTGAACATACATTGAATGTAAATTTTAGCACCTATTGAGAGCAGCTTTGAGGGTTTAAAATGGGTAAGTTGTTCTGTTTTATGCTTTTGAAGATGTACTATCAGAGGAAACTAAATGAAAGACATTAGCTCTTTTTAAAAAAATATATTTTTATCAGACTAATAATACAGTGCCTCTCACAAATCCGAGTATGTTTGAGAAGCTGTTTTGCATATATCTCCTCCTTGGAATTATTTTTCACATCACGCCAGATCCATTGTGAAAGGAGATTTAATATTGAAATGCTGAGGGTCATTATTGCTTTAAAAGACGAAATAAAAAGTGGTCCTCCGCTTTTGTTTTGAGGTAAGGTGGTTGTGGCTGGGAGCGATGCTAATTGCCATAGCGAGCACTAACTTCTTCAGGTCTCAGGGCTGGGAAACTTCGCGGTTGTTTGTGAAAACTCCCTTCTTGTTCGGGGGCGTTTTCCCCACAGGACCGGGAATCTGGGCAATTTCAGGGGCTGCGGGGTGCTGTCAGCCAGCCGGTCCAGCGCTGCCATTCTTGTTGTGTCCTTTAAATCTTTCCCACAAGCTCTCCCCAGACATCAATAAAAACACAATTGTGCCTTTGGCATTTGCTTAGCGTTTTGGCAAAAACCCCCAAAACACCAAACCGAAACCGAAACCAAACCCCCCCAAACTCCTAACACTTTCTTTTACCACCTTCTTTAGGGGGTGGCAGGATGGGGGTGGAGAAGCCTATGGAGGTCGTGTTGTTTCTGTTTGGAAATCTGGCCTCTTGTGTTACCTAGGGAGGTGATGTTCACTGTTGGAGTACTGAAAAATCCAGGCTAAAGCATGTAATCTGCATAGCAGAATGATCTTTTGTGCACACATGTAAAACACATGGTTGTTAGTAGTACCTTAAACAACAGGTATTAAACCACAGGGCAAAAATGCAGAGACCAGTCAACTCCAGATGCATTCAAGATTTTGGTCCTCTACCTGGCATGGTGTAGGGGTTAGATAGGACTTTTAACAGCCACTAGAAACAATAGCTGCTCTGGTTGACTTTTTCTGAGCTGCATTCGGATTTTTCTTCATTACAAACAACCAGGAGAGGCCTGCAAAGTTTGCTGCTGAAACAAAGCAACAGTTTGCTCTGATCATTTTTGTTTGTTTTGTTTTTAATGCCATGTAAATGGAGTGGTATAGCAGCACCTGATTTCCCCAGTGGGAGTGAGAGGCAGTGGTTATGTTGCTTGGAAATTTTGGTCCTGATGAAATGGTCTGAGCACCTAGTAAAAAGGGTAATGGAGCAGAGAATAACTTCTAATACTGCTTCTCCACCTGATATCCACCTGAAAAGCGAGCGCTATCAAAATGCTATTGTCCTGGAGCTTGATGGTTTCTTTAGGGCACCGGTTGCTCCATCTCGGGAATGTCTGGCAGTGGGATAGAGCCAGCAGCAAAACTCATCCTTTGCCTAGGAAGGAGTGTGTGCTGCTGCTGTTTGGGAGCTGCCAGTTTGGATCTGGGCTGTGTGAGAACACACATATTTTTCCTTTCTTTTACCAGCAAAACCCAGCACTTGAAGGCTGAATAGCTCCTTTTTGTAGTGGATTTACTTTTACTAAACCCTTCCAGATAAGGGCATTGAGTTGCTTGATAGGAGCCGGGAACTTGTCTCTGCGTTGTGCAGATCAAGGTAGAGTTAAACTAGTTTGCTGACCTGCAGGTCAAACCGGTGTCCATCAACTTACCTTCCAACTGCCTTCAGATGATTGTGGCCATTCCCGTTTGCTCTCTGACCTTTTAAGTCGCTTCCCTTCAAGCTCGTAGCAATGTCTATCGAATTTTGTGTCCTGCTTTACCCATTATTCCGGCTTTTTATTGTCATTTTCCAGTTTAAATTTTCAATAGAGCAGTGATGGGAGATGTGTGGAGCTGAAGCGATTTAAAACACCACTTCATTTCTGCCTGCTGGTAGTGCCTTTCCTGCTACCCTCGGCCTGTGCCTGACGAGACTAAGAAGGAATCAAAAGGTGTCGACTTCACCTCGATTCCTGTCCAGGAATGTGAAAGCAGAAAACAAGAATTGAAATCTCAAATGCTTTATTTGTGGATGTGGTGGCTAATCCAGCCATCAACACGTTCACAGCTGTAAAGGTGATGGAGTAAGGATACTTGATGCAGTCCAACAAATCTTTCAGTACGAGTGGCTGAAAGTAAGTATGCACTTGCCAAAACCTGCTGCATTTCAATTACATTCCGTGAAGCGACCTCTGGTTTAGCTTTGCAAAGAAGGAAAAGGTGTGAGCAAATTAGGTGTGCAGTTGCTCATGCTCTCGCCAGATTTAATATAAAAGGACAAAACTCTTTCCCTATATCAGAATAACTTTTGCTTCTTAGAATAAATCAGGGTCTGCTTTATCAGCTCACTCCATTACACTTTTTTTTTAAATCATAAAGATATATTAAAAATTCCTCAACAATCCCATGGAGGAAAGCAGATTTTGCAATACCTGCTTTAAAAAGTAGAACATCTATTTTTCACTTCTTGTTATGTTTAAGCAAACTGGCTGTCTTTTGTTAAAGTGTACAGAGAAATTGTTACGCATCAGGAAGGTGTGTATTGAGAAAAACTGTGCTATTTAGGACAATTACTGTGTTTCCTGTTCTATGGTTTTCTAACTGCCACTCGGAATTACTTAAAAAAAAAAAAAAAAAGAGAGATTAGGGAAATAAGGGATAATGGCAAGTGCATAGGAGCTTTAGTGGGGCACTCTAAATACAGAGTAATTCCGTTTTACACTTGTGGATTTCGAAACAAACTGGGATCCTGTATTACTTCTTGAGAAGTGCACAGTTTTCCAAGAAGCATATTTTTATTGCCTGCAAGGCCCGGAGAGTAGCTGAATAATGGACCAGTCTCTTATGGAGTAATCTTGGTCTTGGCAATCGGAGAATTCTGCTTTTCAGGCTGAGCGATACTGCTCTGCAAAGTGCAAAAAGCAGATAGGAAGCCCCGACGCTTTCGCAAAGCTGATGTCCCCAGGGAGGCGATGCTGGGAACAGCCCCTGCTCTCGGCTGGAGCCTCGGGGCTGCCCTGTGGGTCAGGGACGCAGAAAGAAGGCTTATGAGTGCTCATCCCTTGTTATGGAAAGAGGTGGCTGGGCAGCTTCTTTGAAGCAGCTTTTGCTTCTGGGACGATGTAAAGCCCTGTAAATTCTTTTTGCGGAGACAAGGAAAAGAATACTTTATTATTATTATTATTATTATTATTATTATTATTA